AATTAGTTATAAGAGTCAAATTTAGGTGCTAAAACGATTAAATTAAATCATAATCACCACTTTTTTCAAGCAAATAAAATTGATTATGATCAATTATCATCGCTTATAATTTTTGATAAAATTTTCTTAAAATCAAATATAACAGATTATAATGTCTTATTTTGCCAATATATTGTTAAAACAGAAATAAATTTTATAGTGGATCATAGTTTTGCTAATAATCTGAACGTTAAAGGCTTTAAGACATTTTGATTCATCTGAGCCCAAAGTTTTATCACGCAACACAACTATCGTGAAAAACCCTTTCATATTAGTTGAAAAGATTTTGCAGTAAGTGAAAATAACTAAGCCAAACTAATCATCAATATTTTGGTTTGAAAAAACAAAAAAACTTACAACAAACATAATCGGTGGAGAAAAAAATTATACAAAATTAAACAAATAGAAAAAAATTTATACATCTGATTTGATTTCAAAATTTTGATGTTAACCCTTTTGAAACCCCTAATTTACACAGAGGAAAGCGGAGCTTCGCACCACTTGAGAAACAGCAAAAAAAACTTAAAATGTTGGGAAAAAACAAGAACAAAACTTTTGTATGTCTCGTAGAAGATATCTAGAGTTAGGTGTTTTGATAACTTAATAGTTGTTTCTCTACTAAAATAAAAGAAAAGGGCGAAAACTCATGAAAAATTGAAGTCTTCCCAAAGCCACAACAAGTTTCTTGGAAAAATTGAGGAAACGCTGCTTCTACGGGAAAATTCTCGCAACCGGTTCATTAGTTTGAATCACAGGGTAGTCTGAAAAACGGTCAAAATTCAAAAACTTGATTTCCGAAAGCAATATCTTTTTTCTGCAAAAAGAAGGTCATAGCCGCGATAGCAGAGAAGAATTATAAGACCGGTTTTCTCGATTGACCAGATAAACCTAAGAATTGGCAGAGTAGTTTTCGAGAAAAGCAAAAAATATCCAAAAAACGTCAATAAATCAAAAACGTTACTTTTCCGGAAATTATAGCTTTAATTATGAAAAGTTTCTGGGCGTAGCCGTTTATACAGAAGAGATTCACACAACTCTTATTTCAATTGAACGCAAAAATTCAGATTACAGTAAGTAGTTTTCGAAAAATCTTCAATTTGTTCTGAAAAACGGTGAAAAACAATTAATGTTTTCTCCGAAGGCCCTAGTTTTGTGTTAGAAAAAATTGAGCTTAAATGATTATGCAGGGGCACTTTCCACATCAGGTTGTTTCGATTGAACCCAAAAGTGATATTTGCGAATTTAGTTTTTGAGAAACAAAAAAACTCGAAAAATGGTCAACAACAACAAAATATGAAGGGGAATTTTTGAAGCAAACCGTTCTTTGGATAATATCAAAAATTTCAGATTTGGGCGGGTAGTTTTTTTAGAAAGATCTAAAAGAATCAAAAATGGTCGAAAAATGAAATACTTTTTATCTCTGAGGCCCCTTAATTTTGAATAAAAAACGGGTCAATCTGATTATGCAGGGACATTTCGTACAACCAGTTGTTTTGATTGAACAATAAAAAAAATCACAGAGAAATTGAATCTATTACAAAATAAAAACAATATATCCGTCAAGTAAGACGACTAAAGTTGAGACGAAATCCATGAAGCCGACAAAAAACTCAGTTTGGTTCTGAACGCTTTTTTCCCAGTAATAAACATTGCATCCAGGAGTGCAGCATGTCACTAGGCGAGACCATTAGACATGAGCGTGTCAGCTATTGATTCAACTGATTTTGTTAAACTAGTTCTGATTTCAAAAAAAGTCTACCTTCCGATTTGATAACGCTTGCTAATCGCAGGTCTAACAAACAGTTTAATTAACAACTAAATTTATGATAAAAACAATCTATTGCAGTCACTTTTAATTCAAAAAATTGAAGTTGAATTGAAGAAAAAATGGGCTATATTCTAATGGATTTAATTACGTTAAGTTTCGTTATGTCGATATCTTAGATTTTGTTATGCAGAGCAAATTTCACTTTGACTATTTTTCGCAAAGTTACGGGGATTTAACAAAAACTAATTTGGATAATTTGGAATAAACAACGTGAAATATATTGCGTTATTAGAATACGAGCATTCGTCGGATTAATGCGTTCGCAAATGAACTTGGTCAAGCCATTTGGTCATTTCAGTAGAACAGACGTTTAATGCATCTTTTTATACTTAAATTAGTGAGCATGTAGCGTGTAGAGGAATTAACTGAGAAAAAAAAGGTTTTTATAATATTTTTTTCTTCAATTATTTTGTCAATTTTAAACAAATTTTTTTTTAATCGGCCTTAAACACAACTGGAACAATCAGGGCTTTGCTTTGATATATGAGCAGTTGTTTTTTATTTCTTGATCGCTGCTTAAAATTTCTCAATACGTTTGCACTATAGTTATAAAGCAGCCGCTTAAGAGTTGTTACTTGATAAGAAAACTTGAGTTGGTACTTGATATGCAGCCGTTTTTTTTCAGAAAAGCTGGGTTTTTGCTTTTGAAAACTAGGTACACTGTGCAAAAGGTCATTAACTTTTTTGTAGTTCATACCATTTTTTGATGCGCGTGAAACATAATTTGCCATGTTTCAGAAAGATTTACAAACATGAAGCGCATAAGCGTGTCAAGGCATGCTTACGCAAATACATTCAATATAAAATTCATCTAATTGACTGTTTTGTATCTTTGCAAGCCCATTTGAGCAATTCTATCAAGTATCCATGTTCAAGTAACCGCCAGTACTTAGATTGCTGTGAAACACAAAAATTTGTCTTTACAAAAGTTTCTGTTTTTTGTGATCCTAAAATTTTTTGTGATCTGTCAGGGTTTCTAAAATTTTTTGTGATCTGTCAGTCTTAAAACATTGTTGGCAAATGCATGTTCATTATCGATTTGAATAAACTGTCCTACCAAATTACGATTGGGGTGAAAATTCAAGCTGAAATTTTATGCGTAACCTGATTTTTGTTCCGACTTTCGTTGCGAAAGTAACGGAATATTTGTGCTCGGGGTGGGTTTTTTTTTCTTCAGACAAATTTCGACTTTTTAACTAGCCATTTTTGACGGAAGTTCTTTATATCATTCGAAAGGTATTGTTGTCCTGAGCTCAAATTTGAAAAGATATTTCACCTGTGATCATTTTTCGTAAAGTTATGAGGGTTTAAAGATTGCCATTTTGGCCAATTTGGGACAAGTAACGCGCGATATATTTCGCGCTATTAACGTGTAAGCGGAGAGTTAATCTGTCTTAGATATCGTTCCAAATTGGTTGAAAGAAGCTTTATTGCCATCATTAATTTGTTACAAGTAGCGAAATCTATCCTTTTGTTCTTTATATGGTGTGTGGGGGGATGATTTTCATAAAAAATTTCACAAATTTTAGAAAAAAAAATCTTCATTTTGTTTTATTATTTTTAATTTTTTTATGTTATTACTGCTTCATAAACCTTAATAGGCAGTCGGAACATTCAGGGCTTCGCCCTGATACGAGCAGTCTTGTTTTATTTAGAGTATTTTTCCCCGAGATTTATCAGAACTTATAATTATGTTCGACTTGTCAGTTTCAAAAGAGTGCTGGCAACTATTTGAGTATTATGCTGAGAATTATGTTTATGGACTTAGCTTTTTATTTTTGATTTATTAGTAAATCAAAAAATGTTCCCGTAAAATTCAATTTTTTGAACAATTGATTTTTTGTTTTGTAACCGACAGAACCTGCGAATTGGGTGGCAAGAAAAAAGCGTATGCTATGGGATGCAAATCCAAACGGAATCGGTAAAGTGACTTCTTTGCAGGTGTAGCTAACTATTACTTCATAAATATTTCAAACAAGAGAAACTCGCTAAAACTGTAAGCTTCCTCATTATAATCAAAGTAAGAAATTAGTAAGAATTGACCTCTAACCAAAGGACTGGTTTCTAATAAAATTTTTGATGTCAGTAGGTTTTGCCGTTCCTTTCATTCAATTGATAGCACGTTTTTAGAACAGGAAGGCTTCCAAAAAGTGAGTAACGGGTCGAGGGGGGTTTAATCGCCTTTCCCTCATTTCTCAAGTACTATTTTTTTAACCAAAGGGTTGCCCCTATGGTTACCTTTTTACAATATGTTTTTTTGAGAACCAAGTTCAATTTTTCAGGAGACTTTTAGGCGACCTATCAAAGGTTACAATGCGTCCAAATATGAGGTATGTTTTATGACGTGTACCTGTCAAATTGGAAGCTTAAGAACGTCTCATTAAACTATTCCCAGCTTACTTGGTTACGAAATGATTTGATGTGAAAGATTTTGAACAAACTTTGGCCTTTTTTTCCAAAACTCTTCCGGTCGCAAACTTTGAGTCTGAGCTCGAGGTTTGAATCCGGCAGCGCTTCGGCTTCATCGACTTTTAAAAAAGTCTTAAGTGAATGCTCAAAGACTCTAGTGCACACGGTGTACGCCCTGATGCAAAATTTTGCTGTCTTGCCGGTCACTGTCTGCACGGCCGAACAATCTTTTTCTGCAATGACGCTTCTCAAAACATACTTGATATCAACCAGCGGGAAGACCGGCAGTCACCGCTAGTTCTTTTGTATATCCATAAAAACCCTGAATGTAGATGATCTCATCAAATGATTCGCCTTCAAAAACCGACGTTTAGAGTTTCTATAAATGTTTATTGTACAAGTTTTTAAAAAACGCTGACTCGTTACTTTGTTTATTTTGTGAAATTTTATTTTTCATTTTTCTGAATTCAACTTTTGCTCGAAATCGTTTTTTTTTTAAGAAAAAATGAAATCACCCCTTCAAAAAGTCTGCGCACCCCACTGCAAAGAGCCCTGGACAAAGAGTCCTAGAAAAGCAAAATCCCAAATTAGAGAAAAAAGTAGATATTGTTTGACACTTAACGAAATTTTGGCAACCAGAATTGAGGAAGACAAAGAAACAATTCCACTCCCGCTTCAGTCTTTTTTCGGTGCGTGTTCAATTTTTTTTACAAATAAGGTAAGATCATAAATATTTGCCTCTTGCATTTTTGAAGTTGAGCATGCGTCGGAATATATTATCGTAGACGCCAGTCCGTTCCCTCTGGCTATCTCTAGGCAGGGCCAGCTGCTGAGCCACACAGATGTCCGGGTACTGCTTCTCCATCTCCAGAATGTGATTACTCGCCTGAACAATCAGATGCACAAGGTCACAGCCAATCATGACTATCATAATTATCAAAAACGTTTGTTCCGGTCATTGAAAGTTGGGAGAAACTTTGTATTTGGGTGTTTTTTTTTCTTCATTTTTTTCATGCAATAGGAGGGGGGGGGGGGGGGAGTTATGGGGGTATCGCTTCTTTCCTCAGAGATTACACACACCTGCCGACCCAGAAGGACTATTTTAGGAAATCCACTTTTGGCTGACCGTCCCTAAAAACTTTCCAAAGATGTCTTAGGGACAATAAATGAAAACTTTGAGGGAGAGCGCGCAGAAAAAAACGCAACTTTTGCTCTAAATTTTCCAAAAAATGCCTAAAACGCATTTTTTGGCCTAATTTTTCAAACAATTTTTGCGCCGCAGAACAAATAATCATCCGATTATATGTCATTTTGAAGTTCTTCCGGTCCTAATTTGAACGACAGTAAAAGGTTTTCAAACAATTCCCCAATGTGGTGAAGAACTGTTTGAAAACTTTGAGATTTTTTGTTTAATTTCGAGATATTCGTAGATATTTCGTAGATATTTCGCAGATATTATAATACATGGTAATAATAATTGTTGCAAACTTTTCAGTTAACCGTAAAAAAGTAATTTAAATCCAGCAAAGTTACTTTTTAAAGTTTCGTTTAGCGCCTTCTTTAGTGTTTTCTAATCACAAAAACTTTCTGCAAAAAATTTAAGAAAATTTTTGTTAATCATTTTCATCATTTCTTAAATTCTTAACTTCATTTTTTGAGGAGAACTGTTGTCGATTTTGCCTGATTGACTCTAATTATTGAGTATGTCTAAATTCTAAGCTTTAGTTCAGATCCTTTCACGAATAAAAAACGGCACAGTTTGACGAAAAAGTTTTCTTTTTAAGTTTCTTTTATTGTGGTCAGAGCTTTCTGTGATGCTTGCATAGCAACCGCCAATGCTTTGTTACTATCATATTCTCGCTGAAACCACACACTGACAAAACTAATTTTTAGCATTCTTACGACAAAAAAAATTGACAAAACTGATGAAGTTTTTGGTGAACAAAAAATTTCACCTGCTTTTGTTCACTTCAAATCAACTACATCCAACCTCAATTATCAAATAAATTTTTTTGAAGTCTAAAAAAACTACTTTGAGTTGTCTCCAATTTTAATGATGCCAAATAAGTCTTCAAAATGGGCCGGCGCTAGGATTCAAAGATGAAAAATGGACCTAATTGCTATTGTTAGAATCAATGCTACAGGTACAATTAGGCGCAATTTTTAATCTTTGAGTCGATATGTCAATTTTGAAAACTATGGCATTTAATTTCATCGCTTCTTGGAAAACTGATGAAAAACTGATTGCATTTTAATTATTTGGTGTTCCCTGCAGACAGTTTAATTCAGTAGATCAAGCAAATCACAG